CCAATATCTCTTTATGGTGACCAGGGACACCAAGCTGTGCCATCCCTTGAATGAGACACTAAACCAAGGTCATGACTACTTGTTCATAAGAGTGTAATTAGGGGTGTTAGTGTCCTGACTCAATTCCACTCTGGGCTTGAACAATCTGGGCTTCCTATAGCTCCCAATTAATTCATCTGGTGAAATTAATTCTCACTTCTCTGCCTGATCTGCTGTGCACTGAGGCTGCCTGTGCAGAACGGCGGCTACACTTCATTGATGGAAACAAATGGTACCTTCATATAACAAACACTGAAAGGTTGTTTGGTATGAAAAGCACTAAATAAATTCAATTGTTATTATTCGTTATAATTAATCATTCTCAATCTAGAAATGAGTTAACATAATATTACATGCAACTCAATTATCATTTTAAATATAAAAATGTATTATTACATTTTTCCCCATTAATGTTGAATGCAAAGTCAAAGCATTTTTCGATGGTTGCCTCTCATTAATACTAATCTATTTTCTAAGGAGTTTAAGTGTTCAGAGCTTGAGACTGTATTGCACATGCCTGTTCTAACTCCTTATACCGGTTTTTCCTGAAGATTTGCCCCAGGCTTATCAGTAAAAGGGTAAAAAAAAAGAAAATGAAATTAATTTGAGGCAAGCAGCTGGCACGGAGAACGGGGCTAAAGACTTATTTTCTCACTTCGCGACAATGTGGAAATGCTGAAAGTTTGTCCGGGACGACATTTCAACAATTCAAAAGTAATTTTCATCTTTAAAATATCCAACGAAATATCCGAAAGACGTACGGACTATATCGTTGGGTGTGTATGTTGTTTTTCCCGACGTTGTGAGCCTTTTCAGGTTAAGAGGCAGTGAGTACGTATCTCACAACCTGTCTCGTGCCCAGGTAAGAGAAGTAATGCCTGCTTCTGGGATATACAGTATACTGTACTTCGAAATACGTTTTTTCCCGTTGTTTTGTATTAGTTGTACGAAAGAAATGAACAAAAGAAAGAAATAATTGCATTTTTTATTTACATTTACGGGGTGAAGAGCTCTTATACACGGCTAGGTACCTATTATTTGGATCGAATACACGGCAAAGGTATTCCTTGCCCTTTTCCAGCAGTATTACAAGAATCATCACAATTCATAAAAGTACTATGATGTTAAATATACAGAAAGTCATTGAAATCACAACATATTCTATTGGTGCCATTATTCAATTTTGGTGTTCATAATGTCTATCAGGAGGAAAATATATAAATAAAACTAGCAAAGTGGCTATTTAGGAATGCTACAAAGATTGGTAGATCTTCCTTTACTTGGCGCTGTTATGTAATATTGTAATTATAAAAACGACGAAAGATAATCTATTATGTGAATCAATTCCAAACACACAGAATTAGCATTTGGACCCTGGGTTCTAATTAGCTGATGCTAAATTCACTTTTCCTATTAAGGAAAATACGGTGAGAATAAATGATAGCTGCAAAACAAACGCGATTTCAGACTTGAATTTTTTTTTTCTGATTGACCGGTGCAGTAAATCGCATTCGCTCTCCACAATACAGCCGTGCACTGAAAGTAGATACCAGAATAAGGTACTTTGACATGATGTAAAAACAGAATGACCGCGCTTTTCAGACGATTTCTCACCAAAATAAAACTTTTGACCCACGTTTCTTCGCATTAAAATTACGAAATAACTCTTCACCAGACCGCTGCGCGTTACCTTGTTTAAAATGGCTAGTGGTTGAGGAATAACCACTGTTGACGAATTTGGTGATATATTAATTTATTTTGTGGAATAGAAGCAAGAAGTATTAACAACAATTTGAAAAAATTGTAACCGAATACCTTATTTACATATGGTGGGGCTTTGCATGTATTGCTTAACCTTAAATGTGTTATGGATGACTGATGCTCTTCATTTTAGATTTTTATTCTGACGATTTTATCCAATGGCACTACGGGCGCTGCTTTTATACGGCTGGATATTTTACTGGAACAATCTGAGTCAAGTACAGTACAGTACCTTGGTCAGAATACAACACCACAAACCAACCTGGGATCTGAACCAAACACATTCCAGTTTCATGTCCATAGTGCTTTACAAAAATAACTCCCAAATGAAGAAAAAAATATATTTTAAAGGGTAGTATATTCATACGGTATATATTTATTGTAAACTTATAGTACAAACTATTATACAGTATATACTTCCTGAATGATGTTATGTTTTTTTAAAGCAAACTATATTTGAAATGGAGTCAATGCAGTGCAGCAGAGGTGGCCAAACTGGTTTGCAGAGACACAACCCAGCATCTCCTACTTGTCGTGCTTTAATAATCAATTTGGAAAAAAAATGGAAAAATAAATTTGATCAGTTGTGGCCAACTTTGAGAACTACCGTGTGTTCATATCTTAATGATCTATGCAATTCCAGCAACTACCTGCTTAAGTGGTGAAAATGAAATTGTTCCAGTTGTTTAAGAGTGAGTGACCTGTAGTGCCAGCAGGATTGTAACTCTCAGGACTGGGGTGGGTGACCCCCAGAAGTTAACATTTAGATGTTTTTGTTTCAGTAAAGAATCTTAATAGTGATGTCCAATCAGAATTACAGTAACTGCACAGCACTGCTTCATCAGTCAAGCTAAAAGATAGGCACAATAAGATCTGACCTTTACTTGATTTTACAGGGGATATAGAAAAGAATACAGATGCATGAACAGATTCAGAGTTTGATTTTTTTTAAGTCGCCCACAGCCGAGCAGTAGAAAAGGTCAATTTCTGCAGGTTTGCTTATACTGTATGATCATTCACAAAAAAAACTATGACTCACATCAGTCTACTGTAATCTTCTTCTGTTCAACAGAGGAAATAAGATTGTGTCGAGTAAATGGCATCTCTAGTTTTCTTGCCATTATTTCAAATTTGAAAGCTTCTTCCCAGTCTCTAGCAATGGTACACTGTACACTACTTCAGATTAATTGTGAACAGTAGCAAACTCTAATGGACACAGTCTGAAGAACACATACAGTATTTTATCTTCAAGGGAGTTGTGGTGGAACAGATTGAATACATTCTGTGTTTTCTAGACTTGCCTTCAATGGAGGCCTTCAAGAACACCTTAAATGTCAATGACCTTGTGGTAAAGATCTATGTTTTCCTGCATCACTCCTTCTCCTGGAATTCAGCTTCCCAGACAAGGTTTGTTGTTGTTCTCTCTACTGTATCTACTGTAACTACTGTATCTCCCAAGATGATAAACTATTCCAGCAACAATAGGCTTGAAAAAGATTTCTCTACAATTATGCCAGGAACTTTGAGGTAGATGACAGTTATTATGCCTTTTTCACACAATAATGATCTGTGGAAGAACGCTGGTGTAAGCTCCTTCAGATTTTAACAACTCTCTCCGATGTTATTTTTACAGGAGTAAGTCAATATACCAATAATCTGAACAGCAAGCGCCACAGGTTACACCGAGAAACATATACAGTACCATATACAGTAGATGGTATATGGCAAGTATAAATTTAAATTTGATTAATACACAGATGCTGTGTCAGATTTCCAAATAATATGTAATAATAGCAATAATAATCCAAATTCAGTGTACAGTATGTTATCCTTAAAGGTATCTCACAGCCTAGACTAACTGTACTTGGTATGATAGCAATTTAATTTAGAAAAAAAATAGCAATGAGGCACTTTTTGGAAAAGTGAGTTAGAGATTAAGTCATTTGTCAAAATCATTTTAGAAACCTGGTTTTGAGTAAGGCTCAGCCTTACCAGTAAAAGAAAAAAGCCTGGGGACTTCTTCCTGTCTGGAGGTTGACTCTGATGCAAAGATTACCTTTCACAATAATGACCATTCATTCTTCAATTTCCTGGGTAGTCTGTAAACGTTCCTAGTCTTAAATTTATTTATGTAGCTATATGAAAGGCTGTGTTTACACTAAGAGCTCTTAATGACACCTTGTGTTTGCAAAATAAATATCTTATGCCTTTTAAATTGTATATTGCAGCGAAAGCATACGCAGAAGTACCATCTTGCCCCATTAAACCAAAGACCAAGCTTTCCGCCCTGCTGGAAACATTGCCTGAGATGAGAAAGAGACAATTTCAGTCATTGTTTCTGGTAGTGCGAGCAGCTACTACCTACGGGCATACGTTCTCCTTATCTAAAGAGCCATCAAGATGTATAGTCAGAATTCTAGATATCTGATTTAAATGGGAATTAATTTCAGTAAAAATAAACAACCCCAGCAAATAGATAATGGTAGTCCAAATTAATCCAAATCCAAAATTAATCCAAATGGTAGTCCAAATTCGTCCCAAAGTTCCCAAAGCACTTCTTTACTGGAAAGGAACAACTTTAACCATCACTGAAGTGCAGCACCCACCTTCATAACATGGCAGCCATTATATTCCAGCTACCCTGCGATACATGCAACAGATCAGATGATGTGGGTATTTAATTTTCCAGTTGAATCAAGGGAGAAATTTAGAAAGGCCAGATTGGGGAAGCCAAACTTAGTAAAGTAGTGGCCCCATAATGGGGCTCTGGTTTGGTCCAGAGAGAACAGTGCCACCTAGAGATCAACACCACTTACAGCAACAACCATTTTCTATGGTGGTCTCTTGACCCAGTAGTTGGCCAGGCCCAGTTTTAATTAGATGTGATGAGATCATGTTGCCAGTACCTCCTTGTAGCCTGAACACAGAACATGGGTTTACATGTGAATGGCTGTAACTTTCAGTACCATCTGGGGACCCTTTGGATGTTTGGTATTGTACCACAAAACAAAGTGAATCCCGACTTCATCTGAAAAACCTCTGTAAATGTTCTGAAGACATAAGGCTCATTCAGAAGACAGAGTGGTGTTTCCACATGTAAGGATTAGAAAAACATTTCCGGCATCTAGTTGAACCGGCTCTGAACAGGCTCTCAACTTCCTCCTCCGCAGAAAAACAAAAGCATCTGCAATTCACAAATGTCTGTTCTAAGCAGCATGACTTTATTGCTCTATGCAGCCAATACATTACAGTACAGGTTTCTTCAACAAGCAATTTTGTTTACACTGGTGCAAAAATAAGATTTAAAAAATCTGAAAGAAAAATGTATCAAAAATAAAGACACAACCTCCCAGAAAATTCCTCTGCCTCCCAGATAGAGCAATACGTTCAATTTGGAACCATACCACAGTATTTAAAAATGATATAATTTTAGTCAACTAGCAGAGAGTAGGCAAAAGCAACCACATGAACAACAAAGAATGAAACAACTGATACTGAGGAGAACGCACACAAAGAAACAGACAAAGTGCCAAAGTAATTGGCCCACCTCATAATTAAAATGACAGCTCATCTGAGGTTAGATTCAGAGCAATTAATTCTAAATGCTTTTTTAAGGATGTTAGACTGAAACAATGTATGGAAATAATATCTGCTGCCTTTATGTTCTACTTTTTATAAAGAGGATTCTAAATAACGAAGTGGAAATGATAAATATGAATGAGATCTCTGTAAACAATGGGAAACCTGTCAGATTATTTATTTATTTATTATTTTATGCAAGACGCTGCCAGCATCTTGCTCATCTGCATAAAAACAGTTGAAACCAGTTTTACTTGAACCTGGGTTACAAAGGAGGGGTTTAGATCATGGTGGAATTACATTACTTAAGAGTTTGTACAACTTTTAAATGTAAAGCTTTTCTGTTGTTCGTAAAAATAACTAATTTGAAGCAGCATGAAAGTTTGAGGGAACATATTCCTAGAAAAGGAGCCTTTTGGAGCCAATTCTTAATTTTTTAATCCATGTTCAAAAGGAAAGCGGCTTGCTTGGGGGTGTTATTTCACATCCAGTTCGTTTGTGTACAGTATGAAACAGAATAGGTGTTCATTGTATCATATTGTGTTTTAAATCATTATTAATGAGTTGATAGAAATCAAAAATAAAGTTTTTAGCCAAAACTAAAAGAAATTAGATCGATCTTATTTAATACCGCTTGTAATGTAATTTGTTTTGAGTACTGCATGAATGAAAAATCCTTAAAGAGCTGGTAATGGACATGAATCTTAATTCTGTCATGAACACTGATTCTACAGTCTTATAGTATGGTTTAGGATAAATGTGATGTTTTAAAAAAGCTCTTGTTGAATGTTCAAAGCAAATCCAGTAATTAGATTGGAGCCTTTTAATCCAGTAATTAGATTGGAGCCATCTGAGAATGAGCACTAAGGCCAGGTTTTTAACCCACATGCTGTGAAAAACTCTTACACACCTGAGACAGCAGTGCCATCGTTCCACAATTGGACAGATCTTTTAACTTTGATCAACAGAAATGAGGAAAAAACTTCAGTTTTATGAGAACCACATACAGAGAATGTGAATCCAATTAAAATAAACCAAATGGAGATGGGCTGCTTTTTTTTTTTTGCTGTTGTCTATCTGATCTACCTTTGTCCTCCAGTCACTTAACACATTAAAACACAGTATAACCTTAAAACTCACATTTTGCCATTGTGGCTGTTCTCTTCAGTAACTTAACTCAGGTCCCTTTCACAATTATTGAGAATGACAAAGGTTTGTCTCCTTTTACATATGTGCAGTTCAAGTGACATAACAGCAATAGGAAGTCATGAAACTGGAAAAAAGACAGGAAGCAAAAACTATTTCCTTTAGAGGTTAGATAATTCCAAAACACTTTTCACCCTACAGGCCTGCCTCTAACATGTGTCTACCCAGCACAGAAAAATCAGTAGCTGCATTGCTGTCTGACTAAACTTATATGAAGTGTAAAACAAATTTGATTAATAATTGTTTAACAATAATAACTTAATAGTAGGTCGAACATGAGGTTCATAATGCACTTATGAAATGCATACCCCTTTACCAAAACAACACAGTGATAAATCTCTTTTGCCTGGAAAACACTGCAAGCTAACTATACAACAGTACAGATGTGTTTTGCAACATTAAATCAAACGTCTCTAATATTCACATCACCTCCAGGAACACAATTTCAACTACGAAGCACATTTGATTATACTGTATCTTTTAATGATTCAATATAGTTAACAGCATTGGATCGTTCATCACAAATGTAATAAACGCAAATTAAAATTTTGTAAGGCTTTTTGTGATATTAATCTTTGAATTCATGCTATTTTACAGTATGTTGATTCCTAAGTCTGCTACACTGCATATGCACCTGATTTAGAGCCACCTACACTTTTTAACAGCAATTTCAAAGGCTGATGGAGACCTTGCAGTCTGAGAGAGATTCCTGCAAGGGATTTAACAAAACATTAAACCATGGACAACGCAGGTGTTCTCAGAAATGTCCTCAGAGTCTATACAAATGGCAACATCACTGAAGCAGTTTTAATATTTTAACAGTGAGAAATTGCAAGCATGACCCCCATTCCATCATCCTTGTTTAGGAAGGACTGCTTTTGTATGGTCACTTCTCAATCTTGACTGAATTACGTCTGTTACCAAATAAGTAACATTATTCATGAAGGAGAGGGTTGACAATATTCACATTCTGAGAAATCAAAAAGAAACCATGAAATCAAGAAAAGAAAATAGTTCTTAACAAAAACAGTGAAGAGTCACTGATATAACCTTAAATTACTCTAGCCCTAGAGGGCAGTAGTGCAAATCTGTAGGTTTTCCTTTCACCTCTGCTCTTAAGCTGCTCTCATTTAGCTGATCATTAGCTTCAATGGACCAGTTTAATATTTCCAAGGTCTTGGAATGGACCAGTTTAACACTTGGCTGGGTTCTGTTCCTCAAGGACTGGAGCTGTGGCCCTATGCCTTAAATCATGCACTGTCACAGCAAGACTAATTTACCCGTCTAAACATCACACTAGAGGGTGCTATATATTAAAGAAATTCTATTGCGAAATAAATTCCTTCATGTTAATAATGTTGCTTATTATACTGAAGATCAAATTTGAAGAAAAAAAAAGCCAGAGAAAACTTAAAACACTACTGATAGATGTCTAATATCCAGTTTGGAGGGAGAAGGAACAGTTGGCACAGACCCCACAGAGTGTGCTGTTACTTTTCCATAGTAAACCAATGTCAAACAGTACATTAAAAAAATGTGATGTACAGCATGTTTGATAGCTCTGTTAAACACACCATCCTTGATCTTCACACAGTACATATTGATAAGCATCTTGGAGCTCATTTAATTATATTTTCAGAGTGAAAATTACATCTTTAATCTAATGAAAGGATGAAGTACTTCTGGAAGATCAAGAACTTGAGAACACAGCTGATTCAACACAGTCAGGAAACACATGACACTAAACCAAAATAAGAAAAAATAAAACAAGAACAACTTTTAATTAAAACAAATTAAACATTAAAATGTAAAAAAAAAATACAATTGTGCAAAATGTTAGTGAAAGTAACAGTTTATTTTCTAGCACACTGCAATATTGACAAGTGATGAAAGAAGCTTATGGAAAGCCTTTACTGTACTTGGTTTTAGTTTTGTGATTAACAAAAAAAGTAAAAAGATCCAATGGGAAACTATCACTCTTTCCTCAAGCGAAACACGAAAGGGGGTTGTAGATCTCAGGATAATCGGAATGAACATTACTACTACACAGGAAGGCCACTATGTACAAATATTTCCCAAACCGTTGTTATTCCAAAACCAATAATCTCCTGTAGACTATATCAAATGTACAGTAACAACCATCAGTAATGATTTCTTTTAATTTCAGCAAGGTTTTTGAACATTTCTTTCTTTTATTTAAGAGATTAATACTTCACATGCATTCAACGTTCAATGCTTTACTTTTTTGCAAATGTTATGCAATCACATGTCCATAGCTGCATCTGATGCAGTAGAAAAGTACTGTCTTGGAAGTGCATTAACTGAGGAATTGATACATACATATCTGCACACATGGACATACAATGGCAAAGTCACCTAGAAAATATTAGCTGGCATAATTGCACAATATAGTTTGACATTTTGGTAAATAAAAGAACTGTTTTTGACACCAACAACTGTTTTTCTTTCTTTAAAGGCAATATCAAAGCAATTATTCACAAGTCAAGATCCCAGTAACAATGTTTTTCATGAAAAACACAAAACATATTTGGTCCTGGGGTACAGAATTCTAGACTGAGCCAACTTGCGTAAATGTTCACACTGGTTGGGCTTAAAGCCAAAGGACAGTAGCTTCCACTGCAGTCACATTGCTTATCAAGCCAACTTACATCCCTCTGTCATTGCTAAATGTTTTAAAGAAAATATTACTCTCAAGATAAAATTGACACTAATCCTGCACACCAAATATTTAAACGTGTGCTTAAATGTCAGATAACAAACAGGTCTATATGACGTGTGGCATAAATATATTGAATTCCCACATTTTCTACATTGCAATTTCCCAAGAAGTTTTATTTAATAACTTTACATTAATAGATCCAAACAATTTAATAATCTTACATCTTACTGCCGAACGCATGACATGGCTGATCAGGAGATGCAGCTGTAACAAGTTTCCTTTCAGAGTATTTTTTAAATGGTATTTATGAAACAAGGTAGGAGTGGGTTCTATTCAGAAGGGTGCTTTTGTCTTTCGGAGTTACAATGACATTCATATTGGATAAGCACGTCTTGTTCTTGGAACAAAACCAGCTGACAGCGGGTGACATTTTGAAAATGTTAATGGTTTCAAACATGCATGGTCATGTTTTTATTTGTCTTTTTTCATAAGCAAACGTCAGTCCAAACAAAAGAGATGTGCTGATCTGGGAATGACTGAATATGCTCTTGAGAAGTTCCAAAATACAAAAGCACCCCCTGTACAAAAGATACTGATAATTTAATGCTTTAAGTTGTTCAATCAAAACTGGATTTCATAATACTAGCTGGATTGAAGATTGGGACATAAAACTGATATCGACTCCTGGTACTGAAGAACCACCATGAGATCTTAATAATTATTTGAATCAACTATTTACTTAACATGTTTATAATACCACTGTTGCCATTTCTTTACTCACTGATTATTTAAATTAGATGCAAAACCTTCAAAACCTTGTGGCTCTCCAGGTGCAAGAGTGAATATCACTGAATAAAAACACTTCAGACAGATAGCCCCTTTTGATGGAAGACAATTACAGTTACACAAAAAGTCCAGAACAAAATGAAGTGCTAGAATCTGTTTCACTTATTTTAAGACCGAAGCTGGCTGGATTCTAAAATTAAGTAGCTAAAGCGCCTTAAGCTTCAGGACAGATGTTTTCCCTACTATATTTTAAAAACCATTTAAAAAAAAAATGTAAAGAGTGAATGTACTGTAAGAAACCCAAAACTCTGTATCAGAACTGGGCTTCCTGTGTCTTCTTTGTAACCCAGCAGTTAGTTACCGCTATCATCACATTTAACATACTGTAAAACAATACAGGGAGTTTATATACCACAAGGTCTGCATGGAAGTTGCTGTTGTTGATATTGCTGTGATGACCACCCATGCTGACTCTTCCTCAGCCCATAACCATCCTGCTGCTGGTGCGCGTCATCAGATGAGAAATGGAAATTAATACCAAGGATTTGATCTTCATGAAAGACTCCATCGGAGAACATCACATCTTAAAAAGTTGCTTCCCTCTTCCATGGTGATTTTGGATGACATTTTCCAACACGGCTTCCGCCACATATTAATACAGTCCACCTTTTGGTGGATTGCCAACTTTAAACAAAAGGTGTGTCCTTGAGCAGTTTTTACTGTATGTCTACTGAGATTTTTCCCTTTCTGTTCTCCAGATAATATGTAAACAGGCTTGGAAAGTCACTTACAATCTCTGAAAGACATGTGGTGTTTAGGCTTCTGGTTCCTTCTTCAGCACTGCATTATGAAGGAAAAAAAATGGAAGAAACTCAGCAGAAGGCTGGGGTCACTGTCTATAATAGGAACCTGCGGGAGAAAGCAGTTCTCATGTCAGCTTCTCTTTAACTCAGTAAAAGGAAGCAAAACTATTTTCTCCCTACACACAAGTGTTTGTACCGATACGAACATCTAGAAGGGCTATTAATAGCTGGGCTATTAAAAATCACAAACAGCTGCACTTTTTCAACCTGATCTTGTCAGATCTCACTGGCTAAGCAAGGCTGGACCTGGACAGTGTTAGGATGCAAGACGTATGGAAAAGAAGGCTGTAAGTGGTGTTGGTGAGCAGTAGATGGCGCTTTTCGTTCTGGACCAGAATTTCCATATTGCTGCCTCGATAAGCTTAATGGGGACTACGCTGTGATGAAAAATACTTTTGGGATGCTTTGGAATGGAACACTATCAAAACACAAATCATTATATTAGAAGCTTAGTATCTTTTTTAATATTGAGTGATGTGCTGTTAAAATTCTTGAAGGACCTATTGAGAAATTGACAGGGGGCATGGTGCTCCTTTGAGGTTTCAAATAAAATCTGAGCTTTAGGCAACAGCAGAATGAACAGCTAGCTAATGGTTCTAAGAAGCTAGCTCAGTTTTTTATGCATCCTGTCTTACTGCCCTTCCATTCTGCTCCCTTTTGATAAAAACTGACAATCCAGAACAAACACATGGTGTCAGTCTTAAGAGCTGGACTTCTCCTCAGTTAAAATCAGTACTAAATCCAGAGATTTGGTTATTTTAGCGGCAGTACAGCTGTCAAAACCTGCCACAGGCACACATACACAGACCTTTCAACAACAGCATGAGCTCCCCTGCCTCAAAAATTGATTTCAGAGCAAATCCTTTGCCAGTCACGGTGCTATTTATTTTTACAAATCCCCCACAAAATCTTTTAGCCAGTAAAAATAAGGAGCTGTCTGCAGGAGCCTGATGAGACAGAAGTCGATAAACTGGATTAAAAGGAATGTGTGTGTTTGTTACTGCTCTGAAAAGATCAGATTGGGATCAGATTGTGTAACCACAATCGCAAGCACACACAACAGGACAACTGGAAACTCCACAAATGTGGTCTCACTGAATCGAACACACCAAGAACCCTTCAAGCTCAACTCTGATTCTGCTTCACGGTTGCTGGGGTCTGCGCGTTTCCATTTGCTAACCTGTTCACACTGGGAGTGCGATAAATACCTTTGTACGCAGCTTCAGGCCTGGGAGAGCAGGAGGAGCGTGGATACGCATAGGTGGAATCCACATTCTCATAGTCATTCACAGGAGGAGGAGGACTAAGAGGAAAGGAGAAAAAATTCACATATGGGATTGCAGAAAATATTGTTTTATGCGCCGTTCTATCAGAACATACAACTAGTGGGTACCTTGTTTCCACAGGAATGCAAATTAGACTGGAAAAAAATATCAAATAACAGGAAATGCTTGTAAATTAAATGCCAGTATCTTATATGGCTAATTTCGTATCTCAAGCCCACTGGGCAAACAAAAAATGTTGCTGAACTTGGCGGCCTGTCTGGCATCTTGCTAGAGGTCTGTTCAACAGTCAGAGGTCTGAACTCAGTGTGAAGAGACTTGGAATTGATCTACATTGTTCAGACAGGCAAGACCACACGACGCCTTTCAAATAAGATAAGTAAAATTATAGCACTGTAAGAAAGCATAATATACTGCACAGCAAACTGTACAAAATTAGATTTTGCATCACTGTAGAAACTAAATTATTTTTACTCTTATGTTTGGTCAGTAACACAGTTTAACCCTTTTCTGTCTTAGAGAAAAATTGAAACTAGTTATAGTAAAAGCATTGTCTTTGTTACCATGATGTTGTAAATATTAGGCTCTGATGGAACTTCTGAAAGTTTATGAGTAAGATAGCTGTTTCTCTCTTAAATGTCTTCCTCTAGCTGTCTTTCCCAAGATTTATCTACCTTACGGGGTTGGAGAGGAAATTAATCTAGCACCAGCATGCCAGTTAACTTAAATCTTCTTTCTGGCATTGCCAGAAATGATATAACAACAATACATTTATGAATATGGTAGGTGTGTTTCTCTTTAATTCCTTCCTCTAACTGGCTGCCATTCTCAATGTTTATCTGTCTTTTGGGGTAGGTGAAGAAACCAATCTACACAAGCATGCAGGTTAGCTTAAATCTTGTGCACTTCAGACATTTGTACACACCCTCCTAAGTGGTAATACTCTAATCTTTCTGATTCTTTGAGTAAACAACCAGTTCAGGGTAAAACTAGCCCTACCCAAATGTCATCGCACTTGAACTCAATATTTTGTGTTACATTACCAACAAGACGAACACAGATCAATGTAAACCTGACCCTCCATTCACAACATTCTATTAGATATGACAGATGGAAGGGAATATTGTGCAGGCGGGAAGCAGGCTGTCATACCGGGCTGGCTTGTGCTGTCGCGGTCGCTGGTATTCGCACTCCTCGCGTGATCGAGGCCGAACGACTTCCTCAGGCTCCAGCTGGAACACAACAGCAGAGGCTCATTCTCCTGATCCCCGACGCCCCCCAGTTTCAAACACCGATTAAAGCCGGAGGACCAATGGGTGATGATGCATCAATAAACGTGATTGTTCTGTTAATTTGTGGACCCTAAAAAAGTATGATCATATCCCGTCCAAATACACACAAATTATAAATCTATTCCCTTCCTTTGACACACACATGGGAGGTCAATACTGAAGTCATACTGAAGCTCTTTTAAAGCCTCTTTTAAAATACAACTCTAGCATCATTTAGGACATCTGAATGAGTTCTGATCTTATTACTGAACCTACTTCATCAATTCTTCTGAGTCAACTAGTTTGCCTATGTCAAAGATGATGCAGACTAAACTGCACTCCTGTATTTACATGATGAGTTAAAGTTTTAATCCAGTATAAATGGCTCATCAGGTCTTTATTTGTTTCCCTGATGTTGCTTTTTTTAAAAATATATAATTTAGCACAATTTGTTATTCTTAAAGCAAATGCATTTTTTTAATTGTATTACATTGCTTGTGGTTTGAAGGAGATGTAAGATGGTTCAATGCACTGAGCACGTTACAAAATCGATGGCATCCGCTTTTGACATGTAGTGCATGTAGTTTGACATGTAGAATTCTTTTGGTGTAGTGGAGTTCACTGCTGTATAAGGGATGGAGCTGTGTTTGTTGTGATCAAGTCCCTGAGGAGCAAAGCTGCACCCATCACAGTAATTAATTCAAGAAGAGTATGTCAGTGCATTGATCATTTGTGAATTGTACATTAATGTATTCATTCACAAAAGAAACTCAACCTTTCTGCACCTGTACATTATCGACAAGAATTCAAAATACCACTCAAGGAAAGGAGCTTCTAATTAACTTCTGTCAAGTTAATTAGTAAATACGCTCTGGCTAAAAAAAGGAGGTAAGGGCAAAACAGACCAACAAATGCAAAGTCCCAAAAATTTTCATAAAATTTGTTTTAGTCACTGGATGCTACCACTGAAAAATCCTTCTGATATTCTAATTTACCCCCAAAGTAAACATCTAATTTGGGAAATTTACAGTCTGGTAAATTTACCCACAGAAACCTTAAAATAACGAGAACGCTCACCTTCCATTCTGCTTCATGTCGTCTCCTTTCTGTGTATCCTTTTTCTCTTTCTTTTGACCTCTTGTACACCTTCTTCTCCTCCTCCATTATTAACCGGGCAATTTCCTTCAAACACACCATGGAAACTAATAAAACAACACCACCGATGTCCAACTAATGTAATTTTGTTTGGGCATTGCTACTGGAATGCTTGCCATTTTTTTTGTTTTTTTTATTCAATGCTGCAGACCTACAGTATTAACCTTTATTACATTTCTAATAAAAATATCCTTTCATCCAGCCATTTTCTAACCGTTTCAAAAACAAAGACGCACACACTCCAATTTTCCCAGAAGCCAATTAACCTACCAGTATGTTTTGGGACTGGTAGAAGAAACCGGAGCACCCAGAGGGAACACATGTGAACACAGGGAGAATATACAAACTCCAGGCGGACAGTACCCCAGGTCCTGAATTACACCCAGGGTCCTAGAGGTGTGAGGCACCAGTGCTAACCACTGTGCCGACTAATGAAAATATTTAGGACATAATTTCAGTTTGGACAACAGAGGCTCATTTGTCTGACAGCAACAGATAATGAAGCAAATAGTCTAGCAGTAGAGAAGAAAGTACTGTGCAAGCACATTGCAGGACACGGTGACAGGAAAAAGAACAAGCTGGAAAGGGCAGATGACAAACACTCTCTGTTGAATTATCATCCATTGGTCCCCATTTGAAAGTCATTTAGTCCCAGTTGTAGATGCTCAAAGCCTTTCTCGGAAGCATAGGGTGTAAGGCGGGATCACACTTTAGAGTGGACAACAGTCCATCGCAAGGCACACACTAATACACACATAATTGATAAGGACTAATTAACCCAACCAGCATGTCAGATGAGAACCTGAACACCTAAAGAAAACGCATGTATGGGGAGAAGACGCAAACTCCACACAGGAAATGCTTGGGAACAATGACATTGTTAGCCTACCTCATCCTGCGCCACTTGAGCTGCCCTCTTTTCCAGCTGGCTTGCCTGAAAAACACTCAGAATGAAGCCTTCCTTTCAATTGTACATACTGTAGTGACACACTCTAAAACAACACTGATTGACTTGCATTACACACCCACCCAATAAGGATTTGAAAACTGTTTTTTAAGACTCTCCGACTGAGTCTCCCACACAAGTACTTAGGAAACAATTACAGGGTCCTCTGACCGATTCAGGTACTTGTTATTCAGCACCCTGGAAACTGCAGTGCCTATAGGACAATCAGTGCCAAAACAGAGGAGCTATGCATCTCTCACCGATGTCACTACAAGCCTGCAGGCCCCCAGCAAGTCACAGGATAGTGACTGCAGCTGTTGGCTGGAAAGCCAAGAAAGTCCTGAATAACTAGTCCCAACACTATCCATTAATGAATTCTGGCCCCAAGTTGTCTAGTGACTTAACCTACAGTAGGCTTTAACTCACCAGCAATGATATACTGTAACTACAATAAATTTATGAGCATGGTACTTGTGGTTCTCTTTCATTCTTTCCTCGAACTGACTGTCATTCTCTAAGATTATCTGTCTTTTGGGGTTGGTAGAGAAATCAATCTAACACAAGCATGCAGGTTAACTTAAATCCTTCTGGTTTCATCAGCTACAGGGACAGCAGTATAAGCCCAAACCCAACCTCCACTCTGAGCAATTTCCTTCACTGTCAAACCTGATCAGGACATACTGTAGGCCTGGTTTTCAGTGCTATAGTGTTTATTATGCCCAAGTCATAATAACTTTGTTCTATTTATCACAATGATATTTTAAAAGACATTTTTAACATTGAAATTGTGCTAGGAAAAAAAAGAGTATTACTGTTAACACATCAGATCAGAGCATATTTAGGCAGCAAAACCTTCGTTCACATGTCTATCACAATACTCAGCCTACATTGGATATAAGAAGTCTACACACCCTTATTGAATTTGCAGGTTTTTGTGATGTAAAGCCAGAAATCAAGAAAAATAATGCTAGTCATTTTTCCATCTTTAATGTGACCTCGCAACCAACAAAATTCAATAAAAAACCGAATAGATAATTATTACTGAAATTAATAAACCTACAACACCATGGTTGCATGAGTGTGACCACTCTTTTAAAATGGGGGCTGTAGCTGTGTTCAGAGTTAACCAATCACATTCAAAATCATGTCCAAAGGTAAGTAGCATACACCTGCCATCAATGAAAGTGATTCTGATTAACCCCAAATAAAAATCAGCTGTTCCTGTAGGATTTCCTTGAAACGTTGGTTGCGTCCTACTGGGATAGCCGTGGTCCGCAAGGAGCTGACAAAACATCTACGGGATCTTATTGTTGAAAGGTACCAATCAGGAGAGGGGTATAAAAAAATATCAAAAGCATTGGATGTACTGTACCATGGAGCACTGTGAAGACTATCATCAATAAGTGGAGAAAATGTGGCACCACAGGGACATTGCCAAGATCAGGATGACCCTCCAAAGTTGATGACAGGACAAGGAGAAAACTTATCAGGGAGGCTACCAAGAGGCCTACAGCAACATTAAAGGAGCTGCAGGAATTTCTGGCAGGTACTGGTCACTCTTTGCATGTGACAACAATCTCCAGTATTCTGCACATGTCTGGGCTATGAGGTAGGGTGGCAAGATGGAAGCCATTTCTCACAAAAAAAGAACATCCAAGCCCATCTAAATATTGCACAAAAAAAATACATTCAATCACCCCAAACTATGTGGGAAAATGTATTATGGTCTCATGAGACCAAGGTTGAACTTTCTAGCCTTAATTCTAAAAGATATGTTTGGCACAAATATCCACTGTATATGCTTTTTTAGCAACAGTACAGAATTTGGAGATCAATAAAGAGGGGATCCCATTCAAATTCATTTTGCCTTTACACTACATCTCTGTATGTTGGTTGGTCCCAGAGTCAGGTTTTCATACTGCATTTCTGCCAGTGAATTACAGGACTGTTGGCATTTCCATGGCTTCTACAGAAATAACCAAATCTTGCAGGGCTTGTGCTTCCAAGTCCAATAAATGTAAATGTAGAACACCAGAAGCCAATGGATAAGTCAAAGATCATCTCTTTTGATCATTTAATAAGGACAGTTTTTTGTGGGGGGTGCAGATTCTGAGAAGATAATGCGCATTCTCACCTTCAGCTCCTCCTCTTGTAGTCTCCTGGCCACTTCCAGATCCCTGAGCTCCTGCTCCCGGAGGTCCATGCGAGCAACACCCTGAGTCACCTCTCTCATGCCGTAGTCCCCTCGTGCTTTCCTACCTGAAGGGCGAGTATGCATACATTGAAAGATACAGGGCGCACTTTCGACAGTCAAACTAGATCACCCGAGGGTGGAGATAGTCACACCAGTGGGACAGGATTAATAGGTTAAAGAAACAAAGCGGTCAAAGATATCTGAGAGGAACTTCCTGAATGATTTGGGTCAAATGCTAAGACAAACTGTTTGGAGTATTTAGAGACTGGAGTGACCTGAATCTGTTTTGTAGTCAGTTGACAGTATTGATTAATCAGCCTTGGAGCAAGCACCCTGAAGAAAAAGGGAAAAACAGAGGCAGTAAAGGAAATTCCTAAAATCACCCACCACCACCATTGCCAGGCCACACAGTTGCCATTACTGTACCTGGGTCTTTGGGGTGGTGGCGGTGATGTCTGTCTTCGCGTGAATGAGAGTGCGTTCTATGCGCCTCTTCAGTCTGGTCCACGTGCTCTCGTCTCTCCTCCCTCCTGTGAGACAGGGGCTTGTGCTCTTCAAACACCTCATCGAGTTGCGGTTGCTGCCCCTGCCTGTCCACCCAGTCATCGTCATCAACACTCTCCTCTGCGGACCTGGTCCTGTTAGGCCCCAGATAATGGTCTTCCTGGCTGTTTCTGCCTCTTCCGTGTTCTCTGCTGTGTTCCCTGTGGCGCACCCTGTTGAACTGGGGAGAGGGGGGTCTTGGAGGCCTCTCTTTCCTGCGCACGACCCTCTCGGAGTCGGGAGACTCCTGCCTGGGCTCCTGAGCCCTGCGAGGAGGCGAACGCTGCAGCTCGTCCCTCCTGTGTGCCACATCACCGTCCGCATAGAAGGTGGACTGTGAGCCGCGAGACTCAGGCCTGTGCCTGCGGTCCCTGTCGTGACTGTAATGTCCTCGCTCTTTCCTGCTGTCGGGAAGCAGACGCTCTGGATGTCTGCCACGGCTCTGCTCTGGGTGGAGTGTCGCGGGAATAGGGTGAGGGGGTAGTTGGGGGATGTTGCATGGAAACGCACATGTGGAGAAAAGCAGGTGAGCAGAGCTGGGTTAGTAAAAACAATGATTAGTCACCTCTGGGGCAACAGGATCTACTATCTGTACAGACAGGGTTAAATGGTACACAAATCCAAAAGAAGTGTAGAAGCTTTACAAACAGGACAAAACAATAAAAATAAATATGATGAACTGGACAGACAGACACCAAAGAGGGATTTAAATTCATTTAAAAGAATTGGGCCCCTGAGGACAGTTTTGTCTCCTTTTATTCACAATAATTCATTATTTAATGTACATGTAATGACAATTTCAGTCATTGGTGATGGAATATTCTCTCCGCTTTTACTGGGGAAGGATTTATTTTCTTTCTAAGACAACACAACTTTGAATTTTAATTGTAGGAGAAGTTTAAAGTTTTAAGTTCAGGTTGTTTTACCCTAAGTAATTTGGAACTACATTGCAATTTTTATATTTCGGGGTTAGAAAAAATCAACACTGATGAGAGCATTTCAAACTACAATGAAAGTAAAATGTACATAGTAATGTGTAAAACCTCCAATTTACATTTTAAATTTTCAGGTATGTGCAGCACCATATTGCCGTCTGCAAATCAGAATGAGGCAACAAAACCGCTGGTAACGTGTAAAAGGCCCTATTAGACTGTAAACTATTTGCTTGTGAATACATCTTCTGATTCAATAGAAATATTGCTTTTGACTTTTAAATATTTGCTCGCACTAATGCATTACATTAGTTATCTTAGTGACTAGTGAGCAGGATGGGCCATTTCACATCACAATTCTCACAAACTCTTGCTCGCGCCCCTTGGTGACACCAGAGGGTTATGAGAACATGGTGAATATATACTGTAGTACTTTCTCCTGCCTGGGCTCAGTTCAGTTCAATTATTTAAATACTGAGATTTAGTAACCAGTCTGAGAAGTTGGGACTGCAGTTCACCTTTAAGTGACAGGCCACACTCAGTGGTGACCTGTGATAACATCTAGATAAACAGGTCTGTGTTGGAAATACCAGTTTCGAGGCTGTTTTTTGCAGAAATTAAAGCACTTGTTTTATGGACAGTAATTGATATACAAGAGTAGCTGCTTTGTCTCCTTTGTCAGCAGCTACTACCCTTTTCCTCAATTGTGGGTGAGCCGCACAGTCTGGAAATATGGCAAAAGTGCAACTTCAGAGTCTACACAAATGTACAAGCAAAGCAAAGATGGACAATTTCTCAATAATCTTGATCCTGTTGACAGGATCTGTTGCAGCATGTACAGTACAATCCCCTACAGACTCTAACCCTGCCTGAAAGCTACTCTTGTATATAATTTACTGTCCATAATTCAAGCGTTTTAATTTCTGCCAAAACGCAGCCTGGAAACAGGTATTTCTAACATTGCCCGTACCTAAAAGCATTCCTACTCATCTCGGTAGCAAATGCTTACATGCCCTTCAGACCTGTTACACCTGAGAAAAAGCAGTAGGGAAAGTAAAAAAAAAAACTAAACTAAAACTTAAAACTAAAGGGACATTTGTCAAAGAATGTTTTGCCCGATGAAGGTAAAAGTCAAATATGAACAAGTATGGAATCCCTTTGATTCTATAAATCATAATAACTCAGGTTTATAAGCATCGCTGAAGCTGTAACACTGGATCTGCTTGTTGGAGGCTTAATTCCACAATGTTATTTTAATGGGAGCACAAAGAAAACAAAAGCCCTGTCCCTCTTTATTTAACTCTGTAATTTTCTACGCATAAAAAGAAAAACCTTTACCACACATGACTATAGGGCACTGCTTTCAGGCTCATTTTAAAGGACTTAAATGCATGATTTGACTTGATTTTATTTGATTTACTATTGTGACTAAGACTCAAACTAAGGCTTACGTACACACGGGGTTTTCCAGGTTTTAATCAGCTCTCGTTGTGTGGCACAAGCATCTCCCCGATACTAACTCTACCTCTAATAAAGGATGCTACTCCGATCAAGACACAGGACAAAGCATTCTTCTCTTTGCTTAAAAAAGTGGTAATTGAAGAATTTCCCTTTTAACTTATCTGACCAGAGGAGTTTATTTAGAATGCATGCACCCTCCCCTCATTTCCTGAAAGATGTAGGGACTTCACCAAACAAAGGAAATGTTTCCTATGAGATAAGGCCAGCAATAAGATTAAAGAACTCCTTTGTACCGAGTATGATTATATCAGAAACAAATGGAAGCTTCTGTTCATGTGCTTTGAGAACTAAAAATATTAACAGAATTTGTTATAGGTACAGTAATATAAACAGAGGTAACATGACAACAGATGGGTATTGCAACTGGTGGTGAGGTTTTCCTATTCCCATTGCTCTCTGCACATAACTACGAAGTTATTTTCTGAACATCAACAAGCCACATTAATTAGTACTGACATCTGTATTATTTGCAACAAAGGAGTGCTTTCAGTGTAAGGTTTACATACTGTACACAGTAACATGCCTACTGCCAAAAAATCCCAATCTGGTTTTTAATACCTTATAACACTGTTTTATTTCAATGCAGACGTTGACTCCCTAAAGGTTGAATCATGCATTCACTTAAGATGACTAAAACATCTGTAACTGATAAATCAGGAAGTGTGGCACAGTTCTAGCTCAACAAGTTTATTTATTATTAGTACATATTGCATCATGACATACGCCTTCTCTATTTCCTGGGTATAGCTAACAGCTGTCCTCTTAATTTCTCATGTTTTAGACGAGTGCTGTGAGTACAAGGCAGATGGGGGATAATGGAACTGATTTTACAAGATGAAGTAAAAAATACTGTATGCAGGAAAAAAGCACAAAGGGTTTGTAACAGAGACACACACACACAACAGGGAGTTGCGGATACAGCCCGGAATGGACAGATTAGGTTGCCGTCCCTGGAGGGATCTTCCCTTCTGAATCATACAGGAAAGACTGAACTTGAAGTTCCACTGATAGCAAAGTCATGGCAAAATCCCGATACGCAGGAAGAAGAGCCCCTCCCTGAGAGAAATCACTCCAGAGTGCTGCTCTCCCTCGGTCTGTCCGTCTGTCTGGGGGAGAGCCCACTGGCGGAGGAGTAAAGAGCAGGACTTGCCAAGCTGGCTTCGCCCGTCTGTTCAGAGAGAGGAGACTCGCCTCCATAGACCGGCACCAAACGCACGTGTTCAGCTCTTTTCTTCTGACCGCCTTAGCAGACTGACTTCAGTAAAAAGATAGCAGCAAGCTGTTTGCGTCAGGCCCTGCATTCGTTTTCAAAGCAAACGGTCCTCAAATCTTTTGGGGATTTGCTTCGAATTTCTAAACTGGATCTTAAATCCACCAGGACCTGCAGAATATCTCTTCCGCAGAATTCCGAACACTTTGGGAATGACCACATTGCAGGAAGTCCGCTGCCGCATCCTTATTTCCATGTGGATAGAAGAGTGGCTTCAAACCTGCGTTTCCAGCACTGAGTGGGTTAACTGAAGCAGCTAAATCATCTCCAGATTGAGAGAGGCTGATCAGATGGCCTCAGCCCACAGGATCCTTATGCTCAGATATGCAAAAAAAAGGCAGAACTGGCACCTCCAGCTGGTTGAGAGGGAGAATTTTATGGCAGAAAGGCAAAAAAAACACGCCGCATCTCAAATTGTAACTTGAAGTCACACTCAAAGGACCTGCAGGGCCTTGCTTTCCTGGCTCCTAAACAATTTAAAACGAACAGCTGCAAGCAGTTGGTACCCAAGCCAACGTTTTGCTCATACCAGACAAGTATGTTGCGCAATATACAGTATAATGGGTATACTGTATGTGATTTCCTATTTTTGTTCCAGAGTGACCATGACACTGTCTACAGACTCTATCAGATATAAAACAGTTCTGCATTTTACATTAACAAGAGATCAAAGGACAGCAGCAAGGTTATTTTGCAGGTGGCACATACATCCACAATAACTGTACTTTATATGCACCTGAAAGAACAGAGCCAAATTTGCATTTGCACTTATTCCAAGAGTATGTGACAGGTCATATATGCATTTCAGAATTACCATCACCCCATCTGCATTCTGTTGAACTTCTAACAAGACTTTGCATATGACCTTTAGGTCTACCAAAGATAATGAACCTGAAAGAACAGCTATTTTTTCCAAACCAAAATTGTCCTAGCAATAGATTCACTTTAGCCTTTATCACAATTCTATTGCGACTCAATTCAAACAATGATTATCTTTAAACGTCAGAAATTTCAAGAAAAAAAAGTCTCTATTATATCTGGCACTGCCTCACTCACAGTCATTTTAACTTGTAAGAAGTACGGAATGCCCAGTTTTGCAGGGGCTGCAGTTAAAAATGGAAAAATGTGAAATCGCTTCTCAGCAAAAACTGAAAGCCGTAACACTCTCACAAGGTCAATACTTTGCTTAAATCAGCAAAATGAATGTGCTACTTTGCCTCCTTGACTCTATCTAAACTTGAGCGCAGACTGAGAGATGGCTGACTTTAACAGATTTCTGCATAGCCTAAAAGAGGAAGTGATCCATTTTTGAATGGAATTCTCCCACGACCACCACAAACCATGACAAAATCCGTCTGAAAGAGAGGCAAATCCATACCTCCTTTCTCATCATAGTAGCTCTCTTCGTAGGGTGCCTCCTGAAGCTGTTTCATCCTCCTCCTCTCTTCCTTCATCTCTTTCTCCTGCAATTTGCGAGCAATGGCCTAAAAGAACAGTGGGTGCAAAAAAAAACTGAGATCTCCACAAGACACCACCAGCCAGAGTTGGCATCAGTATAACAGAGGTGTGTGTATGTTATCTGGAGGTAGAGTACTGAAACTTAGTAGGCACTGTGGTATGAGGATAAAAGTCTTGGCCAACAAATACAAATAGGTTCTAACACAGATCTCATTAACAAGGGGTGCTATTGACTATTAGACTGTTTCGGTACCTGCATAATCACAAAAAAGGTGACTCCTGCTGTTGTGCAATACCAAAATACAGGTATTTGCAACATGCTTGTGCACTGCAACTTAACTATATACCACTGGCATTACCTCAATCAATCAAGGTTTATTTATCAATGCACGAACAGCACAGCATACAGCGGTGTTGTTGGCAATGAAATGCTTTGTCTGCGAGCTCGTTAGGAGGGATAGAAGAGTAGAAGGACAGGAATTTATAGGGATTAGATTAACATAAGGATACAATAAATTACACGATTGCAATTTACAATACAATTTATAGATTGTGCGAAAGTAACACAAGGATAGGAGGTATTTAGCGCTTTTCGCATGTGTCCTGAGACTCCAAGTGACAGGAGGGTGCCAGTGCACCCCATCAGTTCAAGGGGGTTGCCTATTCGCCAGCGGCCGTTTGGGTAACTGCAGGCGTCTGCTGTGGTTAGCTGTTTAGCAGTCTTACTGCCTGGGGGAAGAAGCTGTTTCGAAACCTGGTGGTCTTGGTCTGTATACTTCGGTACCTGCAGATTCACCCATCAATTAGAAGAGAATCCCTCAAAAAGCAACTGGGATCTACAGTATAGGAACTGTGAGGGTTCTCACCTCATCTTTCTCTTCTTGTTGTCTCTGCTGCTCTGCCTGCTTCACGAGCTGCTCCTGGATCTCTTGAGCGATCTCATTATCACTTCGCTCGCTGCAGAAGATACACAAACAATGATAAATCATCACCTATAAATGAAACTTCAGTCACAAAACCACACAGCAGCTGGCCAGATACAGAAATGTTTTTGAGAGTTTGCTTTGACAATTTGTTTATCTCCTTGCAATGTGAATAAGTACAAACGTGATATTAGAACATACCAAAAGAGAAATCTAGCCAGCTGGTCAAGCAAGATGACTTTAAGCATTTTGCGTATAATACTGATGTACAACCATTAACCATTTCTCCCAGCTCTTCAGGTTCAGGTGCTGCTGTTTAAAGTGATCCAGGAGAATAAAAACTGGACAGTGCATAGCACGGGGAACTCTTTCAAGACAGAAACACCTAAGAAAAACCTAATTCAGCAGCCAATTTCTGAATGTTTCGGGAAAATGTGTGAAAGCAAGACAAAGATGCTTAAATACAGGCATTTCATCTAGAAAATACAAGCACTGTATCACAGTACAATTCTGGATCACCTTTTAAAAATTAAGATCTCTTCTCACTTTATACAAGGCAAGTAAGGCAGTCAAGAATCTCAGTTTCCAACACAAGCTGTGGTCACACTCATACAAGGCTGGATAGCAGAGAGGTCAAAATTTCTCCAGGACATCAGAGCTGTTGCTACTGCTCAAATCAAAGGCCTGTCCTCTGGACTGGCTATTAAACTTGGCCTTTACTGCAAAGAATACACCATTCTCACTGGATTTGTGTCTGGTTAAATAAGCTATGAAAACACATACATAATTCAACCAAATGAAGAGTGTTATTGGTAGCACACAAGTCCTTTGGAAGACTGATGCTATCTCATAAGAGATCTGTCTGAATGAAGCCATTACCTAACCCTGATTCACAGCCACCTTCTCCTTCCATTTCACTGCTTCTTAATTTCCCCTGGGTATAACCAGGGTGTTGCTACACATGCAAGAACACCAGCGGCACGAACCTTTAAAGAAACAAGTCACTCAGAAAATGAGGAGGAAAAGGCTTTATATTGTCTCCTAGCACTGGGGGCATCTTTAGATTAAAAAGACAGGTTTGATATTCAAACTGTTATTTCCAGATTTTCTCTGGGGGCAATTTCCCATGTCCTTGTAAGTCTACTGGTGGAAGCACAACACAGGAAGATGTGGGAGGCTCATTCACTTGGGATAATATTAGTGAATCATGAGATTTCTTAGCCTAACTCAAAATTCCTGTTCCTGTAATGCTACTTTAACACTGTACAAGTGTCATTCTTTAAGATTAAAGGTTTTTCTAAATATGTGCTTCCCTACACTACCAAAGAGAAAATGATCAGGTTTAATACTGGAATCAGAACACGAGACTCTGTTCATGTACTGTAGTACAGGCACAGCAGAAAATTTAAGTAATTGTCTGTCACCTAGCATTTTTCTTTCCTGCATCCTAAAATTACTTCTAGATGCTAAACAACAGAACAATATTTAAGAAAGAAAAGAATAGCTTTTTGTTTGAATAGTCTTTTCACCTGGCCTAGCAGTAGAATTCTGTCAGTGAACAGGGTGCTGGTTACTTACATGTCCCTGTGTTTTCTCTGGATGCGAACTTTGGCCCTCAGGTCCTCCTCCTCCTGCAGCTTCTTAGCCACTTGCAAGTCCTGCTGCACCAGACGGCTCTTGTGAATGTTGGAGGCCAGATGGCTCTCAACTGGAAGAAAAAAAAATGGATGAGGAATGTAATGTGGACCAGCAAAATACACACCGCCATTCTTCTGGAATTGAGTTTACTGATAGAAAAAAATCTTGTCACAGGGCAAGACAGAGAAGTATTAGACAAGGCTCTGGATTTATAAAAGGAAAATTGTGGGCTCGAATCCTGGGTGGAGTACTGCTGAAGTACCCCTGAGCAACGCTTTTCACTCACCTTGCTTTACTGAAATTCCCTGCTAAGTAAATGAATTCAAAATTAAGTCACTTTGGATAAAAGCATCTAGTGTTTTTGGTTATGGTTCTACCAACTTTGCATACCAGCTTGGTGCATTTTTCATAGTGAATTTGCTCAGGCTTTCCGAAGTTCCTTGGGGATCACTTATAGACAGCAGTTTTCAAGTCTTTCTACAGGTTTACAGAAGGACATTACTTTTATATTCCTAAGCTACTCCGGTGTAGCTTTAGCCTTGAGGTTTGGATCACTGTCCTGCTGAAAGGTGAATTTTTAGGTCTGAAGTAGTTTATCTCGAAGATTTGCCAGTGCTTTGCTCCATCTATATAATAATCTTGAAATTATTCAATTTTCAAGAGTCTTGAAAAGCTTTCTAATTCCTGATGATGAAAAGCAGAACTATCAGTAACATAATGCTGCCACTACTACAGTATGCTTTAAAAAACTGCATGTTGAGTTTGTGTCAGATGTAACACTTTGCATTTAAACCATCAAGTTCCAATTCTGTCTGGTCTGACCACAAAAAAAAAAAACTTTTCTTTTGCCAAATGTTTTTATTTTCAATTATGTGTTTTGTTGTGGGATTTGAGTTGTTTTTTTTGTTGTTAAATACAAGTGCCCTTAGTGAAGTGACTTAAGACCCGTTGATCTGGAACTCTTTCAAAGTCACTGCCAGATTCATGGTGGCATCCCTAACCAGTTTCTTCTTATAGTTTCTGTTCTTATCTTATAGAGTTAGGTGTATTTATTCTGAAATCACATGAAGAACTCCTAATGCAGTGGCCACACAACTAATTGTGTCATTTAGGTCATTTTCTGTACCTACATTAATTTTTGTTTGCCACAGCAAAGCGTTTCAATATGTATGCAATCATGACTTTTCCATTTTTCTTACGTATTACAGACTTACGTCGTTGCTTTGGCTTTGAATGTCTGGAGGGGTTGTGTAGCAAATAGTACTTTGCTACTTCAAAATGTCCTGACTGTAACTTTTAAAGCAACAAAATATGAAAACTGTGCAAGGGTCTCAATATTTTTGCAGGGCAGTGTAAATCCCCACTAAGCTGATTTTGTCCTGCATACTTTCCACCTCATTAGAGACTGCTTACATAGGCTTGGTACTGGGCCAACATGAAAACTTAAAACCCTCTAGTCTAGAAAACATCAATAGGGTACCTTCAGCCAAACACCTGAAACAGCTCAGGAGTTCCAATTTTACTGCAGCACCACACAGACACACCAGCTGGGATCTCACTAAGTCTGGAAAGCTGGGTTAGTTCTGTCTGGGCAGAACATTGTTGGAACTCATCCAAAGACTACCAGCTTGGTACCACAGGAGGAAGTGTTTCCAGTAAGATCAGCACATCGTCTGTTTTGCAAAGTGCAAAAATAAAAAACATCTGCCGAGATACAATATCTTTTTTCAGTTTTTTTTCCAAATAGAAATCCAGATGCTAGTACTTGATAGACTGTCACCTTGTATCACAGATGTCTCTTTATACTAAACTGCGTTCATTATCTAGGTGGCAAGGTAGAAACAGCTGATTAAAATTCACCCATAACTCCATGAACATTGCTACTATTAGTGCTCTTTGTCCAGGCCATTATTTTAATTACTCCAAATACACAAGTACAGTGTTAGAGCAGAATGTCTGTTCATCTGTGATGCACATACAGGCCAGACAAAAGCACAGCACTTCACCACTTTACCATCATGCCATAGCTAATAATCTTGGGGATTATGAGGAGGCCATGATTGGTAAAGGCCAGGAGAAATTAGGCCAGGGTACTGGGGTAACATCCCTACTTTTTTGGAGAAATGGCCTGGGATTTTTAAGGACCAACGGAGACTAAAGACCTTGGTGTAATTAAAGGATGGCTCCTTTATTTTAAGGGATTTCGGGTTCTTGGGGGATTCTGCCCTTGCCGCTCCTGCCCCAGTTCGTCCCCCACCTCGGGGTCGAACCCGGGTCTCCGGCGTCGCTCAACAGGGGTCTTGCCGGCTGAGCTAAAGAAGGCCTTTGTCAGCCCCGGTGGCCAACATCCCTGTTATGCGCAGGGCAGTAGAGGGTGGTGCCATCACCGCACAGCAACCGGCTCATCCAACCTGTATGTCGGCCGTTCGTTACAGTAGTCCCCATCGCTATACAGGGGGATTAGGACTACAGGGTGAGTGCCCCCTACTGGACCTACTAACACCACTTCCAGCAGAAACCTTAGTATTTTTTCCCAGGAGGTGTCCTATCAAAGTACTGATCAGGCTCACACCTGCTGAGCTTCAGTAAGTTGCCATTTGCAGGGTGATATAACTGCTGGTAACAGGTTACAGATCCCCTGTTTTGTGCTCTCTCCACTCAATAAAATAAAGAAAAAAATAAATGTTGGTGTACACATTTGAGATAAACTATAAACATACTCCAAGGCTTAGAAAGCAGAGTAATTACTGAATAGTGCCTGGGCAAAGAGCAAGACTGATAATCACACAGGAAGTCTGACAATCAAAGTAGAGGAACGTAGTGTTTTTCTAACGTGTCACAGAAAGTAACTGTGGCAGAAACATTCAAATGTGTAGTCTCACTTCCACTGCACATCTCCACACATTGTCTTTATGAGAAAATATAGAACAACATTTTAAGACTGGTCATTATTTAAACATGCAGGCGCTCTGAATGCCCTTTACTTTTAAATCACCTTAATGGGAAAAAGACATTGATTTAAAGACATTGAATAAACCAAATTCAACAAAGCTTAATAAAACATGGTATTTTTCAAATGAAAATGTTTTCATTGAAGAAAACTCATACAAATACATAGACTTTAAATTTGATTACTACATGATCATCTCTGCAGTTCTAACACAATGCATAACTGCACGGATCACTTTGTAGGATCAATGCTTCAAAATGCAGTCCTCAATATGTGAAACTGATTAGAGAAACAACTCCCTTTTTCATTTAGCTATTTTCATCACTAAATAACTTGCTTTCATTTATATTAACATTAAAAATTAAAGTCGAATAAATGATTAAATGAATCAGTCCTGTTCTAAAGTGCTATCTTCTAACAGCAAATACTTATGAATACTAAGAACGAAACAAGGGCTAATTTTTGGTCTCAGTTTCTCCTGGGAAGGAAGAATGCAGGTTTTTATGAGAAACCTGCTGGACTTCGTATTCCCCAGCTTCAGTTTAGAGCCCAACACTCCACGACAAAGTGACAGAGAGGGACATACTTTCCTGTTCCTGTAGATTGTGAGCGAGGGCATGATCCTCCAGCACTGCAAAGTCCCGGCACACTGCCAACAAGATAGAAACAGGGTTAGTCGCAGACCACACTTCACCACAGAGGTACGTTAACCCGAAAGCAACTTCGGAGTCCGGCGTTCCAAGACAAGACCGAGCCAGGCAATCTCCTCGCAGACTAGGCTGGAATTACTCAGAAGGTTGGAGTGGTAGGTGAGAGCTAGGCATCTCAGTTACAGTGTAGGAAAACTACACCCCCTTAAGATTTTATGCTTTAACACATTTTGACATACAGTATTTGACCTTCAACTGGTCCTCACTAAATCCTAATAGAAGATAATACTAAACTCATTTGACATAACAAATAAAATCCTACTTTGTCACTATTTATTCCACATTGCAAACTGTTCACATTTGTTTATCAAAATGAAAAAAAAAATCCTCTAGTCCTGTCATTCTAATAGGAGGATGTTATTTGACAGCCCAGTGTGTGCAAGTCTTTTAACTAAGCCTTCTTTGGTAAGATCACAGCGAAGGTTTTTGCCTGTTGTCGGATTCAGCTTGAAGTTTTGCCAGTTTATCGTTATCAGTTGAGGGCGATCACTCCCGGTGGTCACCCTCTGTGTCGAAGGCAAAGAGGAACTGTTATTATTAACTATTCATCTAGCTCTAATGTTTAAAAATAAAAATGACCAAATTAAAACAAAGTGAAACTGTGGTTGAGCAGATGCAATGTGTGAGGGCTTGTCTAAGGTCCAGTCTAAATTCAGCAGCCATGGCTTGCAGCTCTGCTGCACACATTAGCACTGTTTCGGTGAAATAGCACCGTATCGAGGGAACTTCAGGAAAGCAAACAGGTTCTGTTTACAGTCAGTGATTGCTTTGAATGCGTGCTACTGTAGGGTTTTGATAAATGCACTTTTCTCAGTATACAGCAAAGGACACAGGAACTGCAGCGACTGCTTATTATATTCTATACATTAACATATGGAGAATCATACCACACCAGGTTTTCGGAATTCTAAAACAAAGTTGACCCAAAACTTTCCTGTCAAAAGATGGCAAAATTCCCATTTCTTTTCTTTACACACAGCATGTTTTCCAACATAAAGCTGCACCTTTTGTAATGTCAGACTTGGGTGTAAAGTAATCTGTCCACAGTTAATACTTAACTACAACTATGTCATTTAATACCCATACGATTGCTGCAAAAGCACTCTAGTGGTTTGTTATTCTAGTTAAACCGAAATGCATTTATTGCTTTTGTACATGTGTGACACCCTGAACATCCATCCAATTTCTAAACACTTCATCGAGTTCAATGTCATGGGGGAGACAAAGCCTATCCTGGCAAGAAACAGGCGCAAGGTGGGGTTCACCATGGACAGGATCCATGAGACAAACAATCACACACACACACACACTAGGTCCTGCCAAACACTGTGTCATCATACCTCCCAAGAGTATTTGTGTAGTCACAAAAAATGTAAAAAAATAATGATAGATGTTATGCTCCGATGCAGTTTCTTTTTTTGTGATTTATGCTGAACAAACCCACCTATTCCTATGAAAAAATACAGAAGTTTTGAACAGCCCCCCCCAAAAAAAACGTATAGCACTCGATTGAAGAGTGAAGACTTAAATAGACATTACCTTACAGTATATACTGTAGGATTCAAAGCTTTGGCTCAGTGATGCAAAACAAATCTTATCTGCTTCATTGTTAACTATGAAAGTAAAACTTGTCAAGCAAGTTAGCCAGGGAAAAACACCACAAAGGAATTTTTAACATTGGACAGTGGTCATATTTGCACTGAGGTAGTTTTCAAAATATTTGGGAGGAAGTGAGACGTTTGCTAGGGGAGAGCAGAGTTCTTAATTCATGTATGTGCTCTTTATTGGCCCACGGCAGAAGAGCAGAAAGCCTACATTAAGAAGACAGGAAAATAGATTAACTCCTCAGAAGACTGCCTAAGCAGCTTAGAAAAAGCAGCACAGCAGTCATGTGGCTCTATTGCTTCTATGGCTAATATCACATCTCTGTCCTCATCTTGAACTTTGCGAGAAACATCGTCACGCGCTTAAATGTAAGTTTGAAAATGCAAAAGTGTTTAAGGTCACATCCGTGGGCTAATTTAAATTATGCTCGGTCTTTTTTTCCCTGCTTGGCTTTACATCTTCTCAAGTGTAAAGTCAGTAAAGAAAGCCATTCTTACTGCTACACCGCGCCACATCCTGTATATTAAAACAAGTGAGCACTACTCAATCTCCACCTCGATACCTCGCTGGGAATGGCAGGCTAATGAGCACGCCTTTCACAACAGCTCCAGGATACTGCGCCTGATGTCCGCTTCTGGGTCTCTCTGCTTAATTACAGCTTCTAATTATAAATTCACAGTCGCGCATACCTCAGCCACTGACACCATCACCCTTTCAGCTTCTCAGGGGAGTCCCCATCAGCACAGGCCACTGCGGGTACAGCTCATGAAGAAGCTCCTGCGGGCGGACACAGCCCCGCTGTGTCAGCCGGCTCAAAGCGTTCCTCACTCGTGCAGCCATTCGTGAAGAGCTCAACAATTAAGCAACTCATGAAGCAATCTGCTCCTCGTGATAAAGCTAAAGTAATTAATTCAGGAGATGGCCTTCTCTTCCCTGTCTGTAATTTAATTAAGTTGTGGTATGAAAAGGATACGCGCCGCAGGCAAACCAAAGCATTGTGCCATTTTTAATTTGAAAGCATGCCGTCAACTCAGTGATTGGTATATGAGTATGTTATTTAATTTAAAATCTGTACAGTGCAACAATTAAAAAAAAAAACTTTTTAGGTGTGGGTGATACTGACAGCTAGAGAACTTTGAAGTATTTAGCATTATCAGTACTTGCAAGTGCTAAATGAAGCTAAATGACTGTTACCAGCGTGAAGCTATCAGATTATGTGTAATGGTAGTGTGAGATGGGCAGAGCGAGATGTGTATATGTATTGATGCATGTCTAGGATTATTGTTGGTTTTTAATGTGTAATTATTTTATGCTGAGTGGTGTTTTTTTTGTAGTATTGTGTTGCGATGCTAAAGACAAATTTCCATCCTTTGCTCAAATGTTTTTTTTTTCTTGCAGCCATGGTTCCTTAAAGATATGACGATTAGGTTTAATGTCAAGCGACTATAAAAAAACCACAAAGTGTTCAACACCCAGACTGAACGACATCAGAGGCGTTTTTACAAACAAATAGTTGTACACGATAAGGAGCCTGGGACTGCATATCTCACATCCTTTTACTACAGTTATCACAGACGGTTTTCCTGATGTTACGATCCAGACAGAAATGATGTGGTCATGGGTTTCAAGAAAAAAGACTTTACACCCAATTAGAAAAAACAACCCCCTGGAACAAGAGAATCTATGTCCTCCACAGCACTTGCTGCCAAAGAATGTACAAACAGCAGCAAACAGATAAACTCAATGAATGGTGCCAAAGACCTCTTACTTTGTAACCACTGGTTGCACAAACATGCAATGCCATTACACTCTGTGCTACCCAGGCATTTGGAGCTCGTCAAGAACAGTGGAGGAGAATAAAACGAAACAGGGTATTAAAAGAGTATTAAATGCTTGCTATAAAACTATAACAAGGCAGTTCCAGCAGACCAAGCAGAAACAGCTGCCACAGCCCCTCTGCACACTGGTTCACACAGCTGGTGCTGCAATGACTTGGAAAGCTTTGGAAAAGATAGAGAGAACACTCCACACCGCCTGTCCTCACACAGCCCACTCACGCGCAACTCATTCGGCACTGATGGGATTATGTGATCACAAAGTCTGTGAGCACACAAGCTGGGGTCCTTTCAAATACAGCGCATTTAAGGACAATTAGCTGAAATCCGCAAATCATGGTTTACATCCAAGATCACTTAACTGCACTGTTAATCCGGCTTTTTTCCTTTTGTTTACCACGTCCGGAGATGGCCAAATCAGAGCTAAACGGACAAGTAATCACTAATTGACAAAAACAGGAACAAGTGGCCTGCCCATTTCTCATTAGGCTTGTGGCACTTATTTGATTTAATTGTAACACTGGGTTAAGCCTTCCAAAAAACTTCTCAATTTAACCTTTTAATGAACTTGTTAGATTACTTGTGTACTTGTACACTGGTAATGGTTATGCTGTATCAGTACACTTACTGTATATACTGAGAAACATTAAAAATTAAATTAAATCTCTCTCGTAATCTCTCAGGAATAATACACAATAAATTACTCTTATGTATATATATTCTATATACTGTATTGGACAGGTTATGTTACAATCCCGCCTGACCGCTCAGTTTCTGTCAGCCATGACTGTACTGTAGTTTAGGCCTGATTAGGGGATTCTGAGCGACGTCAATGCAAACACATGACTGTAGGATTTTGATTGACTTCAATATTTTGCATTTGGAGCTTTTACCTCGAATAAGGTAAATTTAGGTTGAATAACCCCCACTCACCTTGATATCATTTCTAATGAAACGAATGGCATGTTAGAAAATGGATGGGCAGATAATCTTTACTATATTTAAGGGTTGTTAAACATCATTTCTGACAAGCGTGAATAGAAATTTAAGATTCCAACATACTTTGATGGGTCATTACATAGCTTTAGCTCCTATATTCAAACAATCAGAACTGATTAATACAGCACACTGATACCATGCAGTCTGCATATGAGGCCTTCGTATGCAGTTTTAGACAGGTTAAATACTGTACATATACTGTAAGTTAACAGTGAGCTAAATAACCTGTTAGCCACAGAGTATGATAGTTAATATTCATAATTTAGCCAATCAAAATAAAGGAAGAATGGGAAAGAATAGAAATCATAACCATCCTGCATAATTGAAACGCTATTATAGGCTACATTAATAATTCAAAACCACTCTCCACTTTAATCCTCGGTCTGCAATTAAAATAACACACAAGCAGAACAGGTGCCTGAATTTCCTGGCCTTGGTATTGAAACTACCACAGGAAGCTTCCTAGGCCCTCCGAGATTTTTCTGTGGATCTTCTGGACG